GTCTGTAGCCTAAGTTCTCTGCACAGAAAGTCAACTCGTCTTATAGCTGGTGGCAGTCAGTGCCTTGTATCATGACTTTGCCCCCTGTCCAGCATCTCTCTTCAGTGGTGTCCCTCTACCCGGCAGCAGGTTCCAGTAAAGAAATAATGACCCCTGTGGAAAGAAGCTGGTGGTAGGCTCACTGTCAGTGGAAAAGGAAGTAGGAACAGAAGATACACTGAGGTCTTCACCTGTCACTAGCCACTTACAGACCCTTGTCCCGGTTAATGTTAGGAAAGAGGACAAACTTTTACATCTCTCTCATTAGCAAGCCCCGGACTATGACTAAGGCCACAGAAGTTATTACCAGTGTCAGATGATTTCCTCTAGACCCAAGAAGGTAATTTACTAGGTGGTGGTTGTTGAGTGTCATTGAGTCGTTTCCAACTGATAGCGATCCTGAATAGGGTTTCCTAGGAGTGGCTGGTGAGCTTGAACCACCATCCTGTGGTTCAAACTGGACTTAACGTCCAGTGCATTAACCCACAGCACCACACCAGGACTCCCAGTTACTAGATATGTAGGTACAGAGAAGTCCAAACAAGCAAATCCCCTTGAGGAGAGGAGAGATGTCTATGTCTCTCAAAGTCACCCCAAGCAACTTATGCAATGAGATAAACTCTTTGTGCTCAAACAGTGTATTCACGGACAAATCACTCCAGAAATCAAGGCCTCCTGGTTTCCCTGAAGGCCACGTCTTGTATCTTCATAGTCAGCACCCTTCCTCCATGTGGGGTCCAGCGGCGCCCTCCAGCTTGCTGATTTCTACCAGCCACATCTTCCGGGGGAAAGGAGGCCCTATAGCATTGCAGTGTTTTCATTGATTTTAAGTTACTGTTCCTAACATGTGTGGCTCCCCACAATAACGTATCAATAAAATCACTCCGTTTATCAAGGGTCTGTAAGTTGCACGTTCTTTGTGTCACTCAACACATATTCAAGGTTAACCAGGGATGGGTTATTGTGGAGTGCCATCGAGTCAGTTCCGACCCATAGCGACCCTGTATAGGGTTTCCAAGGAGCAGCTGGTGAGCTTGAACCACTGACATTGCAGTTCAAATGACTTTGCAGTCTGACGCATTAGTCCACAGCTCCACACCAGGACTCCTGGGATGGGTAGCGCTCTGCAAGTCAACAAGGGGAAGCCAAGTGCTAACACCACCATCAGAGTGAAGACCCAGGAACCCCAGAGGTTGATGGTGGTGGTTGTGTGCTGTGGAGTTGGTTTCAATAGGGTTTCTTTCCAAGGCTGTAAATCCTTACAGTAGCTGAGAGTCTCATCTTTCTCATGCTTAGCAGCTGGTAGATTCAAATTGCTGACCGTATGGTTAGCAGCCCAACTCATTAGCCATTATGCTACCAGGACTCGCTTGGGAGCCCCAAAGGGAGACCGATAGTGGTTGCATTTCGGCTGGGTCAATGGTCAATGGTGAGCATCTCTAGGGCCATTTTGCCTTAAGATGTTACAAAGTCAGCGTGTTACTCCTATTGTCAGGGTAGTGGCATTTTCAAGTTCTTGGCTCCCAGTACATTAAAGAACTTAGACCCCAAGCCCCTAAGTCAGACACAATGACAGGACCGATGCCCCACGTGAGACTGGGAACTTAGCTAAATAAAAAGAGGGAGGGAAATGGCTTGGAATCAGCGCACTCTTCAGCTGAGAACCCAGCTCGCCCTAATGAGAAAGTAGTACCACCCATACAGCGCCTGCTGCCCGAAGCCCAGGGTCACTCATGCCTCCAACTGGCATGCCTCAGTCTGTTCAGACTGCTCGTTCCCAAAACCAGAGATCCAGGCCAAGCAAGACTGCCCACCGATCACAGGCAACGCCAGGTCTGACTAACAGTTCCGTAGCATCGCAAAGCCTCCACTGCTGGTAGTAACTTCTCTTGGTTTTAATTTTATTTATTCATTTTGTTATTGTTGGTGTTGTGAAGCTAAATGTACACCAATTCAACAGTTCATCAATGTTCCATGTAATGACACTGATTACAGAACCTGCTGCCAGAAGCCCACTGTCCTGTTGAGTGACATTAATGGTGTTCTTCCAGTTAGCTGTATGTAGCCCATTCTCACCCTCTTTTTCTGGGTTGTTCCTCCCTCAGTAACATCAGCTCACTGGGCCCTGAGGTTCCTAGCCAAGCTTCCAGGTTGCTGTTGCCCATTTGATCTGACAGAGAGAGTTCTTAAATGGCTGTAATGCTCAAGGCAGACCTTTTCTGACGAGTTAAGCTAATAAACTATTGTTCGGTTTTAAGAAGACATCAGGGGATACTTTTTGTTTGAGGTTTAAAGATGATCTCAGGGCAATCATTTCAGGGGCTCATCCAGCCTTCATGGAGTCTGAGAATTAGGAATTCGTTTCTGCATTTTACCCCCTTGACCAGGATTCTTCTCTAGAATCTTTGATTAAAATGCTCAGTGGTGGCACCATTCAGTTCTGGTCTCAGGGCAAAGCAGGCAGTTGTTCATAAGGCAGTTAGGTACACGGTCTAGATCCGCCTCCTATCCCAGGCTCTCCTTCCTCCTCTGTTGCTCCAGGCGTATAGAGACCAATTGCCATACTTTGGAAGACCCCAGGCACTCCTCAATGAGCAAGAGGAGAGAATAGAAACATTTAGTCCATGAACTGGATGTCCCATGAAACCATGACCTACAATCCAAGGAATCAAATCCCATGAGGTGTTTGGTAGTACATAAGTGACCTCAGCAGCTACTTCTCGGGTTGTTGTCATAAATGTAACACACAACTTTGCCAACTCAACTTCTTTCAGGTGAACAATTTACCGACAGCAATTACAATAATCACCAATGCAACTCGACCCTTAATTTCCCTGTTGTTGTGGTTGTTATGTGCAGTGGAATCGGTTCCGACTCATAGCGGCCCTATATAGGGTTTTCGAGGCTATAAATCTTTACGGGAGCAGAAAGCCTCATCTTTCTCCTGTGGAACAGCTGGTAGTTTCGAACTGCTGACCTTGCAGTTCGCAGCCCGATTCCTAACCACTATGTTACCAGAGCTCCTTGCTCTTAATAATCTTGTATTCCTCACAAAGATTTTACAAACTTGTAAAGCAAAATTTTATCTGTTGTGTGCTGACATGGTGCTGTAGGATAAGCACTGGACCGCACGGTGGGTTTTAATCACAAGGTCAGTGGTTCAAACTCACCCATTGCTCATCGTATACGCTATACAAGGTCACTGCATTGGAAGGAGTCCTGGTGTGGTGATGTAGGATAATCACTCAACCACAAAGGGGGTTTGAACTGCAAGGTTGGCATTTCAAACTCACCAGCCACTCCTTGGAAACCCTATACAGGATTGCTATGAGTCAGAACCAATTCTACAGCACTCAGCAACAACATGAGTCAGAAATTACTGGACACACTTAACAACAGTAGCAACAGCACAATACTGTATGGATGATTGTTGTTGTTAAGGAGAGCTGTAAATGACCATCTTGCAACAACTCATCTTTACAGACGTGGACCCGGAAGCTACAGTGACAAAACAGAGTTCTCCCCATCATGTTCTGAAATGAACACATTAGATTTGCTTACATAACATGTCAGAACATAGTTCAAATTGCCTTTGACCTTGGCTTAAGTCATCTATACAAACATGATATAGACTCTTTTACATCCACGTGTGAATATCATCTGTCATCATTTAATAAACAAAAAATAGCTAGTTTTCCCTCCAATGTTTGAATAGATACCTGTTTCTTTCGCTGAACACCAAATGTGATGTTGTTGTTGTTGTTGTCAGGTGCCATCGAGTCGGAACCGACTCATA